ATGGCACGTTTGATCGCCATGATTTTGTGAAATGTTGTGCCGGTCATGCAAGTCGTTGCTCAATTTACCCTGCGAAAGGATCCTTTTGGATTCAGGATGGTGCCAGTATCCATTGTCACCCCGACATTGTGAACTTCTTGCGCTCTGTAGGCATTACCCCAATGTTTTTGCCCGCAAAGGGTCCATTTTTCTATCCGATCGAATAAGTTTTTGGGCTGGTTAAGCCTTCATTTTGAGCATTATGGTGCACTTTCAAATACGACATGTCCGGCATTTACCAACATTGCGGCTATTCAATCAAAGGGCGATTTGATCCAGCGAAGCAGTTATCTCAAATTCACGCGGTAAAAGAATCCCCACTAAACGACAGCCTATTGGGATATAGCGATTGCAATGTTACAGTTGCAGAAGACTAAAAAGTAATGCAGTCAATCCAGCGTCACGTAACTCATCACGGCATTGAGGGTGCCCTATCACACTTGGCAATACCGCACACGTCGTCAGCTGCTCGGCGGATGATACGCAGATCATCGCCCGAGATCCCGCAGCCCTCATCACGCAACTCGAGCTCATTGAATCGTTCTGCGCATTTTCTGGGTTCAAGCTCAACCGCAACAAGACAAAACTGCTCACGTACGGATCTCTGGAGCGGACGATTCCAGGACGTCCGTCAGGCCAGAAGCGCCCGCGAAAGCACTGGGTACCCTAGTGGCGCCGGGGATGCAAGCGACGTCGCGCTTCGATTACGCGATCGCCAATTCATCGATCGGCTCGAGCTCTGGTCGCACCAAATGCGGTCTCTAGTCGGCAAGGTTGTCATTCTTTAGGCTGTATGTCTGCTGATACTCTGGTACCAGTTGACTTGGATCCCGCCCGATTAGCAGCAAACGGCCCTCATCGATCGTCTCATGCTTCAGTTCCTTCACGATGAGTCGATCTAACGGACGCGAACGAGGCATCTGCGCCAGTTTAGCCAAAATGTCATCATGGCCAAATGTCACGGTTGTCTCGGCCTCTCACATGCGTACGACCTGTGGACCTCGCGCCTCCGCTCTAAGTTGGTACGATTTCTCAAGGCATGGCTCGCCAACCCTTTTGAGCCACCTCCGTGGACCTCGGCCGGCACAGCGCTTTTAACGGCTGCCTACCAGCCGTGGGGATCATTTGGAGACCTGCTGCAAGCCCGACCGCCGCACCCAGGGATGAAGACGCAGCTCTTGCCCGACGATATACCGGTACGGCGGCAAGCTTTGCTGCAGATGTGGTACAAATTGGTAGTGTCGTTGTATCACAAGCTGACGACGGACCCACGGATCGATTCAACGGCCCCATTCTGACACAACACGCACCTAGTAGACGCGGGCACGATCCGACACATCAGCAAGACGGCAGGCTGCGAACACGCGACTGCCCTGGCATATGCTGGGTATACCCATGTTCAGGACATGGTCGCCCCCGGTGGTACCCGGCGGCTCGAGCAGCTGATACCCCAAGCCGTTCCTATCCGCTGGATTCGTCAGCTTGCAGCAGTGGTCTGCCGAATTGCAAGTCCCACTTTCCCCGCGTCCCGCTGCAGCTTGGTCATGGCTCGTCCGTCTCGGTGGCGAGGTAGTTCCTCTTGTGAAGGTACCTCTTTGTCTTGCAAATCACCGCCCCCGACCGTCCTTGAATTGGCAGCACTTGCCGACCCGGCACCTTGGTGTCCCAGAAGACTACTGTTCTGATGACGCCTACGTGGCGGCATTTGTAGCCCTTCGTCTGCCCGATAATGTGCTTCCACGGTATGGTGACTTCGTTTATCGAGTGGCGCTACGCGTGGTCGTGGTTCGAAGCAGCCTCCCTTTCTTGTCCCCGGCGGAGCGCACTTTTCTCCTTTGTACCGAGTCGGTGGAGTCGTACACACACTTGCTGGTGGAGTGCCGGTACATCGCTGCCGTTTGGAAGGCGTTTGCGCCGCTGCGTCGCCGGCTGCAGTTGCGTCTCCAGAAAAACCCTCGTCGCTTTACTATACGACGAGACTGTTGCAAGGATATCCCAGTACATGTCCACCATTGCCGTGTTTGTTGAGCCACATCGACGTGATAAATTTGATCCACAAATCAAATATCGTCTTAAGACCACGTCATACATAATCTGCCCATTCTGCATGTTACACCAGCCTTGCGCAAGAAAAGCAAATGGAAGCCAGCCATATCGCCCAGCGCTGCCAAATGTAGAAGTTCTAGAAATCGAACATTCTCGAAATCTAGCTTAATCAGTCACTTTCCAATTTACGTGCTCTGGTCCATCGTGCGCGATTGCGTCTGGTACACGCTCAGGCTCGAACGAAACGATCGTGTCTTCCGCGCGTCACTGAGCCCTACGACTCCAGAGTCACTGGTCATCACGGCTGCGATGCTCGTACGCATGCATTTTCTTCACGCGTGGGAAATATTTCCACTCGTTGGACCATCTTGAGAAATAACCAATTTTTATCTGAGGTTAATCAAGAAAACGTTAGAATGAACTTTTCATGTGCGCGCATATCTTTGTTTCGCACATTATACTGGAGCCGAGGTATTTCAGATTGTCACCGTGAATTGCAGTGGGTCAAACAATCGGGCGACCCAACTGCCCTGCGCAGCAGCACAACGCCCAAGATGGCCAAGCACGACTACTTTGGCGTGTAGCTGGAAAATCCAGAACCCATCCCGAACTGCATGGCCGTGTATCACTCGCTTGTACTAGTACGCATGATGAAGCAAAACACGGCTGTCCAACAATTGGATTGGTGGCAAGTTCATATGGCGGTTGGGACTACTTGCATGCTTCGAATGCGGCCGGCGAGCTCGATAAGCTGAACGCAAGGATACCAAGTTCACGTAATAGTCATCTTAACGTAAATCACCAGTCTTTGCCCTTTTTATCAGTAGTTTGCCCTTTTCATTTTCACACTTCACAACAAAATATTATCACCAATCAATAGTCTTCGTGGGGTTTTCAACGAAACTTTTGGTCAAAACGAGAATTGGGGGAACTTTCAAAACTCTATACACTCCTTTGCTTCATTTCGTCATGCCGAGGCACACATCTGAAGAGATCGTGGCAGCATTACAAATAGTGATCGATGGTGAGAAGCAAACTGAAGTCAGTGCATCGATGTCGATACCATATCGTACGCTCAAGCACTATCTCAACCTTCACCGTCGTGGCATTACGATCAACAGCAGCCGTATGGGCCCTCCACCAACTCTGCCCTTAGAGTGCGAACAAAACATGGTGCAATGGATTGTAGCCATGCAAAAAGAAGGATGCCCAATTACTCGTCAAGACCTCCTACTCAAGGCCAACGGACTCCAAGCGGATGTTCTACCAATAGAGCTATCACTCTTGTCGAAGGTCGAAGGAAGTTTATTAACCAGATCAATTTAGACTTTTTGAACTAATACCCTTTAAAATATTATAATTTGTGTGAGTGGTGGTGTTATCCATTATTCAAGACTATTGCAATCAGGTTCATTAAATTTCAGGAACTACTCTACTTTTCGTGGATAGTATACTCAATTCAAGTGTAAAGAGGGGCAAAACACTGATTTTTGGTTTTTGGCTCAAAGTTGAAGAACTTCATTTCCACATGATCCACTGTGATTTTCCTCATTTGCTTACAGCAGTCGACGGCACCGAGAGGACCAGTGATAAGGTTTATCGTAAATATTGCACATGAGAGTAAGTGATTCGAAACCAAAAGAATGATAGAATATAAATGGAGGTATGCATTTGTAAAGGTAAAAGGACTCACACTCTGAGCTTCGTGCGGTACGTGCAGTGCGAGCTTCGTCCGAGAAGGAAGGCAATGTTTGCTGAGACTTTGGTGGCTCCAGTACGACGAAACTTGGCGTGAAGACGAAGGATATCAAGACGTTCTTCAGTAGTTAAGCTTCTTGGCCGTTGATGTCGAACGTAGCTCGTTTTCGCTTCGTAGTCGTCATCGGAGATGGAGTTGGTTGCGGGCATGTCAATGCAGGAAGGCCCACGAATGGTGACGACACGCTATTATTTTCGAGAGTTTTATGTGGCACATTTCATGCAATAAAGTGTACCTCTCCTAAAATAATTCGAATTAATGTTCAAAGGTTATACGTTATTGTAGGGGGAATGTGATGGATTCTGGATCATTTTGGCAACTTTTCTGAAAGAGTATTGATTTTCACGTATGACGTCCCTTGGACTTTGTTTCGATCCTAATGAGTCCGATTCACTCACAAAATTTCAGGAAAAATGGTCATGTGGCTAAAAAAAAAGCTCTTTTGCCCCCTCGGTGCCGTCGTGTCCTGTTGATACAGTGATGCCTCCATTTTTGCAACGACCGAAATCAATAAAAAATGAAAGGAATAAGTTTACAAAGGCTTGGTACAACACGTTCTGGAGACAATTCAAATGTATTCATGTAGCTGATCAAGACATCAATCGACAGTGCAGAGGCAATTCGAAGACTTTCAAGTGCCCCGATGAGCGACATACGAGGTAAGATACGAGTATGGGCCCAGCAATAGCGCATTGTAGAGGCTGACACCTCATCCCATGCCTCAGATGACTACGACATTGCTTGCACGACATCGACAGCGTACGGATTCTTTCTCTGGTGGTCCGACACAACGCCGCCAGCAGCAATATCGTCGGCAATTTGGATCGCATATTCCAAATGACGTCGTCGGTAGTAGTTTTTGAACGTGGCAATAATAACAGCATCCATTGGTTGTAGTACAGACGTCGTTATCGGTGGCAACATGAGCACCCTTACATTGCTGATACCTGCCCGAACGACTTGGTGCGACGAGGCATTATCCAGAAGCTGTAAAACATGGCATTTTTGTCTTGCCATTTCGTCATTCAGTTTCATGATCCATTCGGAAAAGATTGCAATCGTCATCCAGGTATGCGAGCTATTTACTGTTAGTACTCTTATAACCGAGACACCA